GCTAACCAGACGGCTGGCGGTTCAAACCCACCAGCCACTCCTCGGAAGAAAGGTTGGGCAATCCTACTTCCGTAGTGATACTGCCTTGGAAGCCCAAGGAGGGGTCGCTATGAGTCGGGTTTGACTCGACGGCACATAACAACAACAATATATATTATATAATTATAGTATGTATATTATATATATACATATATACACACACACACACTGTGTGTGTTATCAGATCAGTATGGACTCATGGCTTTTCAGTTTATTCAGTTTATTCATTTGCTGCCATTGATTTTGCTGCTCGAATTATCCCACATTGGCCAGTAGGAGTCCCTTCAAGCTGGCTTTTATGCTCTTTTGACATCATTTGGTGAGTCCTTCCTTGCTTTCTGTTAGAATAGGATGCCCTAGGCTTGTACCGCTGTTTCTCTGCTCCAGCCTTTGAATCAGCCATTTACCCAAGAATCTCTGGTTCCTATTACTGGAGAAAAGTGTTTAGAAACCAAGATCTGGGTATTAAGGTGAGCTCATTTATACTGGGTGTCATTTCTTCTGGGTCCTCTCAGTGGACAGAGCTTGGACATGGATACACACACCTAACATCTGTTATTATCCGTATCTATATATTGAAAACCATGATTTCACACTCATATCTCTAGTTCTAGTCTAATACCACAGGGTTCATTCTATCTGTCCCCTTTTCTATATTTGTAACTCCCTTCTCAGCCAATGGGAAATCTGGCTAAAATTATCCACAGCATATTTGTTTGATTATGCAATTCTAGAATACACAGAAACTTTCAAAATTTTTACCCATATCTCTGTGAAAAGAATGCTATTAAATAGAATCCAATATTTAGAGTTGTTTTTTTTTTTTAATCTAAAGGCAAATATTGTATTAAAAAATTAGGTGGATTAATTCACTCCCTCCTCCCATCTATGTGGTTATATTTCTTATTTACAGTGCAGTTTTAAAAATTTGTTTCTGTTTGTGCTTAATTTTAGGATTTTATTTCATTCTTGTTGATGTTACTCATTTTTTGAGTATGTGGAAGATTAAATATAGTGATTAGGAAAGAAGTAAGCTTTTATTTCTAAGCTGATTTTTAAAATATTTTTGTTGTCATGGTTGAGAATATACACAGCAGAACATATGTCAACAATTTATTACATTTACATTTATTACATTCTTACCCTCCTTTTCTATTCTACCATCATCAACAAAATCACTGCCTATTTGAGCTTAAATTTTTGTCTTTAATAAGCCAATTAAGTTTTGCTTTATGGAAATTTCAATCCAAGGGGAATATATAACATTAATACAAATATATGACATTTAAGAAAAGTTAGTTTATTTATTTCCATGGAATCACCCTGTGCTTGATTCATTGATAATCAGCTTTGTTGAAAATAAGTACCTATTTATATATTAATTGAGTTGATTATCAGTCATGGGGGAGCTTTGGTAGCATAGTGGGTAAGGCACTTGATTGCTAACCAGAAGGCTGGAGGTTCAAACCCACCAGCCACTCCTTGGAAGGAAGATGGGGCAGTCTTATTTCCGTAGTGATACTGCCTCGGAAACCCAAGAAGGGGTCTCTATGAGTCGGGTCTGACTTGATGGCACATAACAACAACAACAACATCAGCCATGGAGGGGAGCATTGGGGATATAAGGTATATCAGAATTCAAAATTTGTGTAATTTGTGAGGACAGATTTATTGTTACAATTTTATGTTTGGAAAACCAAAAGTAAACTAAATGCTTTTGTTATACAAACTAAAGACAAGTAATGCTACAAAAAATCTCCCTGGCTTCTAGGGTACAGTTAAATATAAAGAAAAATGATCAACTGTTTTTCTCTCTCCCTCTTTCTCCTCTGTGGCACAGGCTGGCTGTTCAGATGGCAGCATTAGATTACATCAGCTGACTTCTGAGTATCCTCTTCTGCAGTGGAATAACAGCACCAATGGCCAAGCTATTACTGGCTTACAGTGGTCATTAACAAGACCTGCTGTGTTTTTGGTCCAGGATGACACATCCAGTATTTATATTTGGGACCTACTGGAAAGTGATTTGGGTCCTGTCACCAGACAACTCATCTCTCCAGACAAGTAAGTTGATGAAACACATAACGAGCCGTCATAGGTAATGCCTTGTAGAAGCGTCATTGATGGCCTCTCCTCCTTACTTAATTATGCATAATAACATTTTTAGACTGCATTAAATTGGAGTCTGATTGGTTGCATTTTGTTTCCAGCCAACTACCACTTCTTTTTTTTTTTTTTCCAGTTAGGAGTCTGTTTATATGGTACATGATGATGTACTGTCTCCCAAATCATTTAAGTAGTAGATAAATTCCAGAATTTGGAATTGGATAAAAGCACTCGACTTAAGTTCACCTTAGGGAGGAAAAATCAGTTAAAAATAAATCAGTTTAGAGCTTTAGAAAACAGGTAGATTTAGTCATTCAGTGAGTGCACAGATGTAATAAAATGTTCATTTCTGTGTTACTGTTATATATAATTACTGTTGTACTATATAAACTCTTTAAGAATCTTTTATGCTGCTTTGTCATTTTTTATGTACAATTCTTAGCTCTAGGATTTTTTCATTTAATTAAAAACTTTTTAGCTTTTCTATAGTTACAGAAATTATGTCTGTCTGTTGCTTTCTCTCATCTGATTTTGTACTTCAGGGAAGAAAATTACTCATTCTTGAACCTCAATCAATAATAAGCAAGTTTAAAATCTTTTTTAACCCTTACTTGCCCTTTAATGTTATGTAAATTTGCCCTCACTCTGAAAGGACAAACCAATCCCTACTTGTTACAAATTGTTCATGAAGATTACCTTCATTTGGTGCACTTGGTACTTTTAAATCATTGAAAAGGCTTCAAGCCTTTCTTGCACTGAAGTAAGCTAAATGAGAACTGCATGCCCCTGTTCCAATTTACCTATAAATTCTTATAGACAAAATTAGGTGCAAGTCTTGTTCATAACCCGGGGACTGTCTGTACTCTTAAGATTAACATTATTTACAAGGTCATCTTTAATTTGACAAGTTACCAAGAGATTTAATGCTGCAATGGCCTTTAAAGCCAAATGAAATTCTGCTGAGTGTCAGGCTGGGAGCCAGATTGATTAGGCAGAAGAAAATACTGGCAGTAAATGATATTAAAAAGGAGAAGAAGGAGGAGATCTGGGTCTATTTTAGTCACCTTATGGGAATAAGTCCTCAGTGAATTGTGTTCACTAAGGAAGCCAAGTCTTCCCTTTGGGAGGCAATGTGAGATCTGGGTGGTGTGGGGAAAACAACAAGATACAAAATGGCATCATGCTGTGTAAGAACTTCATGGTTTTCCTTTTGTAGTCTGGTATAAGGATGGGAGCAAATTTTGGTGGTTTCTGAGAGATCTGGAAGCCACATCTTAATTGTTTTCTTGAGGTTGCTGCTGGAGCACTCTGATGATTTCAAGAAGCAACTGTAGGGTTTAAAATAGCATTCGTGCCAGGAAAGAGGGGCAGAACCATGACCTTGGGCCTGAACTATGTAGTTAACTGCAGAGCTGAGCAGCTGCCGTTTCCTTACTTCACCAGGGGCCCTTTAGAGTTTGCAACCTTTGTGAGGAGATTCCATCAGCTTCTTGTTTCCATCCTGAGACCTCACAAAGGAGTCACAAGGTTTTGTTTTATTTTTTCTCTCGGACTGATTTCAGTCAAATATTTCTGACAATCAGTCCTTCCTTAGCTGTACCAATCTCTGCCATGGTTTCAGTTAGGGAAGTGAAAATTTAGTTATTCCTTTATACCTGGTGTTCTCAACCAGTTAGAAGGGCAACTGGGAATCTTTGTTTATAGGAATAGGGTCAGATGCTTGCTATCCAATAGTAATGGAAGTTCGTTCTAAAAAATTATGAGAATTTGAGAAAATTACTCTCTGGCCTAGGTGGGTGGGGAGTTGTCCTTTTGAATAATCATATTCATTCATATTATCCTGAACTGTCTTATTTCTAATTCTAATATATTATATAATATATTAGAAATAATATGTTACTATATTATTTTCTAATATATTACTAAGGCAAAAAATGAGTGCTCTTGGAATCATAATCAAATCATTTTTAAGCAAAATTTAAGTGAAAATTAACATTGCTCTAATATTAGCATTTTAAAAATATAGGTATTTATACTTAATCCAAAGGAGCTCTGGTAGCATAGTGCCTAAGGCACTTGACTGCTAACCAGGAGGCTGGCGGTTCAAACCCACCAGCCACTCCTCGGAAGGAAGGTTGGGCAGTCCAACTTCTGTAGTGATACTGCCTCGGAAACCCAAGGAGGGGTCGCTAGAGCCAACCCGATGGCAAATAACAACAACAACAACATACTTAATCCAAAACAGTCTATTATATTAAAGAATTTACACTGAAATATTTTCTCCATCATTATTGTTCAATAAATGCAAGAAGAAACTTTTTGTGAGCATCTTATGCTCTTAGTTATGATAATTTGCTGCCCTCATAAATTCAATATATGTCTGAGTGATGTACAAACAATTCCTTCTAGTTTCTAAAAAGGTATAATATATGGGAAATAAGATTTCACATTAATTTCATTTCTTTGCTCAAACCCCACCAGTGGCTCCCCATCACAAATTAAAAATCAGTCCCTACAATGGTCTTTCCATTAATTAATGTGATATTCATTAATGTGATTTTAAGACATATATTTAAGACAATATATGTTGTCTTTGTTGTTTGATTTATTTGAAAGCAAAAGAACTTATAAAAGCTGCCATGAGAGATTCTTCCTGATTTCAGTTTGTCTACTCAACTATTAACCACCTAAAAAGGAGGTTAAAAAAGTATTAAAAACAGATAATGTTTGATAGAATATTAGGGATAAACAAAGTCTGAAGGAAAAAAAAATTGCAATTTTTTAGTTTAAGTACTTACATTTTTCTAATTATTGAAAAAACACATCAAACCCAAAGAAAAACATCTACCCCAAGTGCCTTTACTTTCTAGTGAGGTAAGATGGGAAATCAATGAGGAAATCATAAAATATGTTAGAGTATGTGTTATGGAGAAAAATGAAATAGGGAGATGTGGGCAGTAAGGAGTGTGGGAAGTATAATAGTTGGCATTTTAAATAGGGCAACCAAGGAGGGTCTTGAAGAGAAGGTGACATTTGGCCAAAGACTTGATGGAGCTGAAGGATCATGACATGTGAGTATCTGGGGGAATACCAGGAATCTTATTTCTGAGTAGAGAAGTGGAAATGTGCCTGGTGTGTGTACAAGGAACAGCAAGGGGACTAGTATGACTGGAGCAGAGTGAGGAAGGGGAAGAGTAAAAGATGCAGCCAGGTGGTATAGGGCCTACTAGGCCATCAGAAGGAGGGTTTTTACTGCGAGTCAGATGGGGAGGTATTGAAAGGTTTTAAATAGAGAAATGACATGTCCAGTTTTATGTTTTTATCAGGTTTACTGGTTCATAATTCAGAACAGTTAGGTACCCTTAAATAGTTTAACTTCAGTCTTATTGTTACCATTTTCTGTGAAAGAAACCATATATTGGGAACTATCATCTCAGTCTTTGACCAAGACCAATTTGACCAATTTTTCTTTTGTCTGAGAGGAGTAGAGGGTATTCTTCCATCCCACCCACCCGTCCACTCCTTCAGCACTGGTGGGTGGTAAGGAATTACCCCTCAGGAATAGTGTGCTGTGGCTCCTGCTGATCCCACAGGAGGAACATCCATTCAATGACTGTTTGTCATAGCACCTTCCAGGAAGGAGAGGACAGACAGCTGTGCTGAGGCCTGAGGAAGAGCTTGTCCAGCACCTACATCTCCATCATAAGAAAAAGCATTCAGAAATGATCTGATAGTGTTCTATTTTTCCTTGTTTAGCAGCAGTGGGTAACATAAAGAAGTGATGCTATATAGAAAGTGTGGAATTAGTTTTCTCTAAGTGTAAAGAAATACAGAGCATGAAGTAAATAATAAAATTTAAAAGGGAGAAGTTTAGGTTAGATGCAAGGAAAAATTTACCACTTTTAGAATTAAGATAAAATTCATAATGATGACATCTAAGAACCTTGTTACCATGTGGCCTTGAAGCAGATGAGATAGTAGTGTGGTTGGAGAATGAATGAGCTACAGGATCTCTTGTTTTTGTTGTTAAGTGCTGTTGAGTCATCTCCAGCTCATAGCAACCTTATGTACAACAGAATGAAACACTGCCAGGTCCTGCGTCAGCCTCATGATCCCTTCTGTACCTGAGCCCATTGCTGCAGCCACTATGTCAATCCATCTTGTCGAGGGCCTTCCCCTTTTTTCTTGACCTTCCACTTTACCAAGCATGATGTCCTTCTCCAGAAAATAGTCCCTTCTAACAACATGACCAAAGTAGGTGAGATGAAGTCTGACCATTCTTGCTTCCAAGGAGTATTCTGGCTGCACTTTTTCCAGGACAGATTTGTTAGTTCTTCTGGCAGTCCATGGTACTTTCAGTATTCTTCACCAACACTACAACTCAAAAGCATGAACTCTTCTTCAGTCTTCCTTATTCATTGTCCAGCTCTCACATGCATATGAGGTGATTGAAAATATCATAGCTTGGGTTAGGTGCATCTTAGTGTTCAAAGAGACATCTCTGCTCTTCAGCACTTGAAAGAGGTCTTTTGCAGCAGATTTGCCCAATGCAGTACATCTTTTGATGTCTTGACTGCTGCTTCCATTGGCATTGATTGTAGAACCAAGTAATATGAAGTCTTTGACAACATCAATCTTTTCTCCACTTATTGTGATGCTGCTTATTGGTCCAGTTGTGAGGATTTTTGTTTTCCTTATATTGAGGTGTAATCCATACTGCAGACTGTAGTCTTTAATCTTCATCAGTAAGTGCTCCAAGTCATCCCCATTTTCAGCAAGCAAAGTTGTATTGTCTGCATATCTCAGGTTGTTAATGAGCCTTCCTCCAATCCTGATGCCACATTCTTCTTCATATAGACCAGCTTCTTGGATTATTTCCTCAGCATAGAGATTGAATAAGTATGGTGAAGGGACACAACCCTGATGTACTCCCTTCCTGATTTTAAACCATGCAGTAT